TCAAACGGATCTCCAAACCCCTTCCATCATTCATTACAATAGCCCTATAACCCATTTGCTTTTTAAATTGCTTAAATTGGTTTTCGGCATTTTCTTGCAGGTGTCGCTGGCCTCTATATTCTTTTAACATAAAATCCAAGGAGGCTCCTCCATATTTATTTACATGTTCGTTCCCTTGTTTGGACCCTTCAATTTTCTTTACAACTTCCTCTGTTTTTCCCTTCTTTACTGCTTTCTTTTTTGTCCCGAGAGGCTTATATCGCCGTCTTTTTGTCCTTCCTATTTTTGGTTTTTTCCCTGTTTCCAAAATGTCTTTTGGCAAGTCCTCTTCTGTTATCTGTTTTACTGTAGCCAGGTGCTGCGAATCAAGCTGTGTTGCTTGTCGTTCTACCGTCTGCTTTCTCTCCTGCTCGTCATTCCGCCCTGGTAACCTTTGTACTTGTTCTTTATTTACTTTCTCATCTACGATTAAACTATGGGAATTTGTCAAGATTTTGTCCCATGCCTGTTGAAGTGCTTTCCCTAGTTCTTCAGTTAACTTTTTTTTTTAACTGTTCCGACTTGAGCTCCGCAATTATTTTCTCACTGATAAGCTCTGCCGCCATTTTCTCGCTAGTTTTCTTCACACAGTTAAGGGGAAGATTTCTAAAGTTTTTATGCTTTTCATCCAGGAGAAGATGCTAATTCCAGTAAATAAATGAGTGTCTCTTACCCCTTCGTCGCTCTTCACTTTCGTTTCCCATAAATAGTCTCCGGCCGCGTTCTTTACATCCAAGTAGGAATCCATGGAAGGGGTTTGGAGATCCGTTTGAATGCCGATTGTTCACCAAACAAAACAAAACTTAACCCTCAGTGTGCCAGGAAAAGTAATCTTCAAAAAAGAAAAATTCTAAAAGCACGGTTGGCAGCTGTTATACTGTGTTCCTGTTCTTCGGACACTCCCGCTTCGAGACAAGCCAATCGCACTCCCGGTCGCACCCCCCTCCTTGCCAGGGAAAAAGGAGGGGCCAGCAAAGCCTCCTACGCTTGGTCTCCCTCCAGGAGCCCAAGCGGAGTCTCCCCAGGTCCGGGGGGCTCCGGAAAGCGCGCTCGAAGACCAGGCGTCTCGGGAGCTCCCGAGAGACGCGCCTGTCTCACAGCGCCGCAGCCGCCATTTTCCCAATGCCTTTTTATTTCATCATGGTGTCATTAAACAAAAAATTTAAGACCATCCCTATGAGAAAAGGCTGAAGAGTCTGTGACTTTTCAGTTTAGAAAACAGACAACTAAGGGAAGACATCCAGGTAATCCGCTGTGTTGGTCTGAAGCAGTAGAACAAATTTAGAGTCCAGTGGGGGCACCTTTAGGACCAACAAAGGTTTATTCAAGGTGTGAGCTTTCGTGTGCAAGGCACATTTTTCAAATACATTGGAGTGGCAGGGGAGGGTCTAAACTTACAGACAGGGACTTAACAGCCAATTAACATGTAAGATGATGATGTTTAAGTTAGGCAAAGTGAAAAACTAAATAACAAGTTAAGGTTATAAGGTCAACAGTTGTAAAACAATAAATATGTCACAATAGCAGATGTTTTTTCTAATTGTTCTAAAAAACTAAATGTGTTTTTTTCTAATTGTGGGAAATAACAGAATCTTAATTATCTCCTCTCAGGCGTGGAGGGCGTATATTTTGAGCCGGATGTAATGTTGTCAGCAGACATCCATTCAGTATTCTAATATACTATTCTGAAAAAGAAATAAGGGGGGACATGAGAGAGGTTTATAAAATTAAGCATGAGGTGGAGAGAGCTGACAAAGAGTTTTTTCTCCTTCTTCCAAAACGCTAGAACTCGGGGGCCTCCAATCACGCTGATGGGCAGGAGGTTCGGGACCAGTGTTCCCTCTAAGCTGAGTTAGTGTGAGCCAGCTCAGTTTTTCAGCCTCCGGCTCACACATTTTTTGTCTTAGCTCAGGAGGAATGGCTCCAGAGGAAGCTAATTTACGCACTAGCCATATTGCTTGCTCACAACTTTAATGCCAGCAGCTCACAAAGTAGAATTTTTGCTCACAAGACCCCACAGCTTAGCGGGAACATTGTTCAGGACAGGCAAAAAGAAATACTGCAAGAAGAAACAGCTTTGAAAGGGGAATAGACAGATTCATGGAGGATAAGACTATCATCGACTACTAGCTGTGATTACGGAAGGGAACCTCCACTTTCAGAGGCACTAAGTCTCTGAATCCCAGTGCCAGGAGGCAACATTCTGGGAAGGCCTCGGCCTCCCTGCCCTGTTGTTGGCCCTCCAGAGGAACTGGTTGGGCACTGTATGGGAGGGGGTGCTGGACTAGATGGACCATCCCTGGTCTGACCCAGCAGGGCTCTCTTCTGAGGTTCTTCTGACCTGAGATGTCAAACTCATTGGTTAGGAGGGCTGGATCCGACATCCATTTCACTTGGTGGGCCGGACCCTGTGTGCCATAAACCATGTGGCCAGGTACCAGAGATATAAACTGTATAAAGGACAGCAGCTGGTAAGCTCCAAGTGGGTGTCTCCTGGCTGCTGGGCCCCATGGGTTGAGAGGAGGGTGCAGAGGAAGACCCACACAGGTGGGCCCGAGAGGCAGCGGTGCTGGACAGGTGCTCCCACACTGCTGCTGCTGCTGCTGCTGCAGGGGAGGTGGGAGGCTCTCCCCCCCAGCCCCAAGAACCCCCCCCCCTGCATCAGCTGCTTAAGGGCTGCGCGGGAGCCCTGGACGGACCGGCTGGATCCAGCCCCCCCCCTGGGGGGGCCCTTCTGTTCGCCACCCCCCCACCCGGCTTAAGCGGGGGTTGCTGTGGTGGGGGTAGCTCTTAGGAAACAGCTGCTGGTATTTCGGCGGCGCCTCCCTCCAGCTTCGGTGAAGAAGGGAACCCCCTACCGGGGGATGCGCAAGTCTGGCGAGCGGCTAGCCTCACACGCCCGCCGCGGGGCTGGACTGAACCGCGACGCTGCCCGGAGCCAGTGTTCCCTCTCAGCTGAGTGAGTGTGAGCCAGCTCACCGTTTTTTAGCCTCCGGCTCACACATTTTTGTCTCCGCTCAGGAAGGATGGGGCTCCAGGGCAAACTAATTCATGCAGGAGCCAAATGGCTGGCTCACAACTTTAATGCCAGTGGCTCACAAAGCAGAATTTTTGCTCACAAGACCCCACAGCTTAGAGGGAACATTGCCCGGAGCCCCCGCCGCCCCCAGGTGTGTCCCGCGTCGCCAGGCTGGCAGGCAGGCTGGCTGGCAGGCAGGCAGTCCCGTCATCAGAGGCGCACACGGGCCCCGCTCTCCGCCATGCCCGGCGGGAGGCAGCCTCGGGGGCAGCCGTGACGGGCGGGCGGGC